GTACACTTCATCGTAGTGCGTACGATGGACGCTCGGCAGTGTATAACTGTGCTCCAGGAAGGGTGCTGTCAACTTAAGGGGTGGGGTGTTTGTGTTAATGTGCTTGACTAAGCAAGGCGGAGACAGAATGGACAGGGCAGGTGAAAGATAGGACAAGAGGAAGAGAAAAGGTGGAGCTGAGACGGTGTTCATAAAAAGGAAAAAAGCCCTGGAGGAAAGAGCAGATAGAAAACTAAAGTGAAATCATACTACCTAGGCCATCCTCAGGACAAATCATCACTGCCCTTCCTGAGACCTGTACACTCTTTTCTGTCAGGTGAAATTACCTCCAGGGAAGAAACACCAGGTGCAAAACAAAAACTCAAAACCTTAGATCTAGATATAGCCTTATATATGGAAGTGCAACTGACTGTTGAAACTGCATCTGCTTTGCTGTGTGTGGTTTTTTTTGGGGTTTTTTTTTTTTACTATTTTGGATGTTTACTGAAGCAGATTTTGTGCATAGTAATAAAAGTAAAAGATATCTTACTGACATATACATTAATTAAAAAAAAGAAAAAAAGAAAATCCTACAAAAGGTTCACAGTATTTGTGGTCTGTTGTAAATGTCTGCTGTTAAACACCTTTCTGACGTCCGGTTCGAGAGATCTGTGTCTGACCATCTCTGTAACTCTCTGAAGATCATACATTCACACCCACTTCATGCAGTGATTGGTCACCTGCCTGGAAGTTAATGTCATGTTATTTAAAAAAAGGGGTCTTAATAGTTGAGAAATTAGAGATGCATGTGCTGTGGCTTTGTTCTGATCTGTCATATTTTAAACATGAGCAGCCTGTAGAGTAAATGATCTCATATGAGGATATTAAAGTGTCACACTGCTTCACACATCTATTTACAAGTTTGATAGATGCTTATCCACTGTGTGAAGAAAGCTTGAGCCTGTCAGAGGTGTAAAGATAAAGATATCCTCCTGATGCAGACAGTGGTGTTTGTCAGCACGGTGGAAAGTGCAACAAGGAGCATGTGGGTGTCAATAATATCTATATTCATAAATACAACTGAAAGTCTTTTAAAAAACAACAACAACTCAGACATGATGGACAATTCAGACATGACAGTTAAAATATAGTTTCTTCATTGCCAGGTGGCCATCAGACTTGGCCCTATTGTGGCCGAGTGTCAACTGGCTGTGTTCTGGCTCCATGGTGCCAAATGTGAACCAGCTTTGACCCATTTATTTCAGTCAAATCTGGCCCACATTAAAGCTATAGTTGGTAATGTTGGAGAGCTAGCAAGATTTGAAAGTGGCACCTCCTCTAAGCTCCACCACCCTCCTCCCCCTCCCATCAGTGCTCCGTCCAAAGCCACGCCCCCACAAACTTGAACAGGCATCCTGCAGTACACCGACAGAGAAGCTAATGTTAGCAATGGGCTAATACGAGCTACAAAAGTAGCTAAGTTGGCTAACGTTACATATTTCATGAAAATAACAAATCCAACTGAAGCAAATCATATAATTACCTGTCCAACAGAAAGACAGCAACCTGTACATCACTTTTCAGGCCCTTCAGCTCCCTCAGTTGTCTCCATCATTCAAAAGCTGCAACGATGTTGACTCTGGTTTGTCCTCTCGCTTTATCCAAAGCCTTTTCGTCGCAGCCTTTTCTGTCTCAGACTTTCTTTTCTTAGCCTGTTTAGCGGGGTGAGCCGTTACAAGTAACGCTGGAAGTGGTACTTTTGGCTGCATTTTCTCTGCCATTGTTCAGCAAACTTATTCTCCTGCTAACTCAGTGTTTCTGCTGAGGAGTGTGCTGAATATTTCTGGCAATGGTGACACGTAATAAGTGCATGCAGGGAGGAGGGAGGGACAGAGGGGGGCGTGGGCAGGACCAGAGCGATATATATAAGGACGAGACATGAAGGTATCTGATTGGTTCTTTCCACTCGCACCAAGAGGCAGGGATTGGTCAGAGTTTTTACAGGCCTGCAGCTGCCACAGAGGTCGGATTTTTTTCGTTCCTTTTTCTGAACACATTATGTATTGACTACTCTCAGGATGGAAGGACCATTTCACCCAGTATAACAAAAAGTGTTTCTGAACAGGATTACCAACTATAGCTTTAAGCTGATATAGACACAGACCTCTTCTGGTTGAGACACGGCACCTGGACAAAACAGCAGCCGGCACCAAAATCTGTTCTGGTCCGTTGATAGTTGCCAAAACTGGGCCTGACTGGGCGTTGACATGGGACTATCCCGGCTGTGACACAGCTGCCAGAGCCAGGCCAGTTGATTTGACTCGACGCCATTAACTGTCAGATGATGGGTATGGTCAAGGATGGGCCATCTTATGAGAGAATCACAGAAGGACCATTCTCGGAATCGACCGGCTGTATTTGGCGCCTGACTTCCGGCAGACGTCTGGTTTGATTTGGGTGGAGGAGGCGAGGAGTTTCTGACTTCCGTTTATATATTAGTAAATATGCTGAACCATTGCGATGGATTCAGAGTTTGCAGTGACGCCAATTATGTTTCACCTCGTTAGTTCACCGCACGGACCGTTTAACCTGGCAACAACTGCAGCCGGCTCAAACGTGATTGGTCAATATCACGCCGACTACAAACAGCCTACAACCGGAAACCAGGGCTCTTCCGCTTTTCTTCCGAAGGCAAGATCTCCAGGGTTTGCCTACAGACTCTACATTCACTGAATGTAGAGTCTGTATATAGAGACTACCGATGGACTGACTAGCCGCGGCTTCCCTCCCACGTCACTGTTTACATCACACACTAAGCTACATGTTTTGTTACTTGCTCACACTCTGCATTGCCCTGAATAAGGCGCATTCTGTATAAACAAAAGTAGGTAGGCAGCATTTTGCCGCACTCCCCAGTTTTGTTTTTATACTGCCAATGCTGAAAAAAGACTGTTTGGGCTTTCCTGCAAATTTGCATAATTCCTATCTAAAACGGGCTAAAGAGAGATAGACCTTGGTTGGAATGTAGAATTAAAGGGGAACACCACGTAAATTAAGCCATGGTGAACGTTAGTTCAGCTTGTGCTCTTTGAAGTCAGCTGAAGGAGTTTCAAGGGCTAAAAAGCCAGTGAGGTGACCGCCTTTCTTCTTGACCAGTAAACTAAAGCTAAGGTTGGCTAGCTAGCTAACTTGGCATCTACACTGACCAATCTTCAAGTACTACACAAGTCTGACAGCCACACAGTCCATCAATTGTGACCTAAAAACAAAATATATTAAAGGGACAGTTCACTCCAAAATCCAAAGAAAAAGGCGTGAAAACTCAATAAGCAATATCTCTTTTCAGAAATCATTACCCGGTTACTCAAGACAATCCACAGACCTTGTTGTGACCAGTTTCATGTAGGAATTACTTTCTTTCTGAGGCCAACTGTATTACCATGCAGAAGGAAAAGTGTATCTACTGTTAGCTCCCCAGCACTACTGAGCTAGCTAACAGTACAACTTAGCTATGGAGGATGCCATTAAGGCTTACATCTTGTGCTGTAACAAGCTGGAGCCTCTTGTCCATGAGTAGATCCTTCTGTGCAGTTGGTGGGTGTACTTTGGTAGAAAGTAAATGGTTCCTACATGAAACTGCTCACAACAAGGTCTGTCCCAGTGAACACCAACCAGGATTTCAATGTTGATTTCTACTTGAAAGCATGCTAACACCAAGCTAGCTTGGCACAACAGCATCCCTAGGCCACATCATGAGCAGCATAACATAAAACTAATAGTGTTAATTTCTGGTTTGCTTTGTTGAAGTACAGTGGCACAGGTGCTTAGCCTATAGGTAGCGTGAAGACTTGTGTTTATCTCGTCAGCTCCTTCTTTTCAGTCTGAGAGTCCTGGTGGGCCACAAGACATCTGTAGCCTACATTTGATCTCGTCGAAGCTGTAACAACAAAGTACTTGTGCATGCGTATTAAAGCAGTAAGCGCAAGTTTTTATTTTACTTGAATGATGTAGACTGTACAGATCTGAAACTAAAAAATGTCCTGAAAGCTACTTGCTGGTAGCACACAGACTGTATAGTTCCATATTTATGACATTTTATATGAAACATTAAATACATACAAATTAAGTCTTGGTGTATACGACATTTCACCCACCAGTGCAGTGACTTTAGAGAAATACCTTAGTCACTCATCAGTATTGTCTCTCTTTTGACCTACAACTGAACAAATAATCAAAATAATTATAAAAATTTATGGATGAGGAGAGGTCTTAGATATTCAGACCGAATATTAACCAGTTTTCAACCAGAATTCAACAACTGAAATCCCGTTTGGTGCTCACAGGGAAGACAATTGTTTTGTTGGTGAAGCTTGTGAGTTATAATGGAGCTGAATATTGTAACATTACCTTTGTTAGATGTTGCTGTTGCTCCTGACTTCATCAGAGTAGAGGAAAACTCCGCTAAGGGCTTATGCTAATAACGTTAGCATGTTGTTCGTGTGGGAAAACTCTGACAGTCGTTTTGTGTTTGAACCTTGTGACTTATAACAAGACAGATCTTGTTCTTTTGTTTATTTGTTTGTTGCTATTAAGCCATGTTTTATGTGTGTCTTAGGTGTGTTAGTTGAATCAGTTAAACTTTATTGCATTTCATAAAAACTCCCTGCAAGCTAGTGTTTTGGTGGTGTAATTGCAGAGCAATTCAAACACACCACCACACATCTATGGTATAAGGACCATGATAAATGTGTAGACCACTTAAAGGCGACAACTTACTGTTGTAAGTGAAAGTCTGTGACTGAGTGAATGCCACACTGCCATGTCCTGTTTCAAATTAAAAGCCATTGTTTCAAATTAAAAGCCCTCTAGCATCTCATACAGTATTTAATCAAACTATGTATAAAGTTTTGACCTCGTCTTGTTTTTGGTGTTCTCTGTAGCTGATGCTACATTACAAAAGTAACACACTGAAATAAATGGAACTCAGCTGAAGGCCAGTCATCCTGTGGTTGAGACTTCTCTTTAGGCTGGTACCCACAGCGCTGTTTTCTTACCACAGTAGACAGTAGACTTGTTACATGTACAGTACATGAAAAGAAAAATAAAGCTGGATGGCTGCTGCATCTTTGTATTTTTATTCCTCATACCAGTATAGACACTCAGAGTATTAAGTCAATATTAAAAATATCTACTTTCTGTATTGATGTACTCTGATTACATCTTTCAAAAGAGGAACAGGAATAGAACACATTACTAGGAATAGGCCTTCACATTTCTTTTTCTTTTGACACAGTAATGGTAAGTCCACCACTAACACAAAAGCACATCTGCAGATTAATATGTCAAAGCATCAGTTTTACTCTGAACAACACCTCAGGTTGCTTCCTGATCTTCCTATCTAGTAGAAGAATACACAACATTCTGCTCCACTTCTCTTCTTTTTCCTTTTTGACAGAAATTCACTGCTGCATAGTTCAGATCATCAGAGCCCGGATTCTGTAAAACACAATATTTACTCTCACTTGTCTTTCCGAGCTGAAATTTAAAAAGAAATCACATGGTCTCATAATTAGACATACTTTAAATTATAAAACAATAAGTAAAAGAAAACACTTGATTTACCTCACGCTGTGGTGGATTCTGTTCTTCACTGGCAGCTGAATGACAGAGACAATATGTGCAATCAGGTAACTGACAATCATTATCCTAAAACTTTGCTGTAATTCTGTTTAAGCGACATTAAATCTTATATTTTTTTAATATATTGACACTCGAGCTTTGATCAGGTCAAAGAATCAGGTCGACCCTATGTGAACCCACATATTTCTGTCCAAGTCAGACCTGAGCCCGAACCATGGCAGCAAAAACCCAAATTTCCACTGTAATTTTTTGTGTGTGCGTGTTTAACATTTATTACAAGCTATTGTAAAGTAAAATCTTTTCAGTGCTGTGTCAGACATTTGTGACACGGAGTGTGTTTGTATATATCCTCTCTGAGCACCAGAACACACCCTGGCACAAAGTGAAGTGTTTTCTAGCTCAGGGTGCTGTTGGAATACCGTTCAGTTCAGAGCACCACACTCTCAGAGCAGCAGAGCAATGGGCACAGTGAGGGTGAAACTTATTAACTGTTTGTTAATTCATACATAAATAGAAAGCTCTAACAGCAGGAAATTCATATTAGAGAACCTGATCTGACTCAAGCCGAGAGAATGATCAGAAATTACAACCTGGTCTGAGCCCAGCAGGGTCTGGTCCAATCAGGTTTGGGCAGAGGATCAAAGCTCTAATTCACACAACATTAGAAATGTAGAATAAAAAATGAAACAAGATAGAAACAGGAACTATTAGAAAGTACCTTTCTGAAGTTTCCTGATTGTAACAACCAGACCAATGATGACTGTTAGGAGAACAGCAGTCAGACCGCCCAGGATCACACTCATCAGCTTTGTTACATCATCAGACTCTGAAGAAAGAAAGATGATA